ATCCCATTCAAATCTGTCCAGTGGTTTAGAAAGAAAACCAAATTTTTAGCTCCACCCCAGACCAGACTGAAGCTCAAAATTTGGGTGTTCCTATGGGGGTAGTACAGCCAGCACTGAAGCCACTTCCCTCCCTTCTTTCTGTAGCACTCCGTCTAATTGTGAAGCACAGTTCCTTCTCTGCTGTCTTTTTTATACTGAACAAAAAGTGCTACTGATCTTTGGCCCGAGTCTCCCTGCTAATTTAGAGGAGATTACATCTGTAACAGTCGCTGTGTGGCCTCTGTGAGTACTGTCTGCTATGCCCTCTCTCCTCTGTGTGCTGTCAGTGAGAGGTAGTGATAGATCCTGTCTCCTTCCTTCAGCGTGGTCGGACAGTGGTGGGGGCTGATCTATCTGACCACACTGCTTAGCAGCCGCTGGACGGATTTGAATGGAATCAAATGCTCTGTGCACTGAATCCCCTGGGAAATTCGACTTTTAAACTTCTGGTAAGCTTCTGCTTTGGAATTAGTAGCAGTGTTGTCAGCCTTCCTTTCACACGCTACTCAGCTGGCCATTGGGCTGCCTATTAGGTCTGCAGCAGGAATGCATAGATCCAATAGGCAGCCCAATGTCCAGCTGAAGGAGTCTGTACAATGCTGCCTTAATTGAGAGGCAGCTGCTTAGCGTTTTCAGCCTCAAACAGGAAGTACTGTTACTGGCAGAATCTCTAGGCAAGAAAACTTTGCAACAGATGGAAAAAAAAGAGAGATATGCCTAAGAAAACCGTGTATATGAAAGCATGATGCCAAACATACTAAAAAATAATTTTTGAGTTTACATACATTTTAACCACTTCAAGACCAGGTGTTTAGACCCCCTTCCTGGCCAGGCCATTTTTCAGTATTCAGCGCTGCGGTACTTTGACTGACGTTTATTCCGTCATGCAGCGCTGTACTGAAATTAATTTTATACCATTTTTTGGGGACAGATAGAGCTTTATTTCGGTGGTATTTAATCACAACTGGGGTTTTTATACTTAAAGCCTATATCACACTAGCCTTTTTGTGATTGGTGGCAACTCACCAGAATCACTAAAACACAACTCACTTCAGGACACATTAGGGGCTTATTCAGAGCTGTACCTAGGTCCTTTTGAGCCTGCGGCAAGAACAAAAAATATGCCCCCCCCAACAGACGTGTGACGTCACCCAGCACCGCGCACGTGCGGCGTCATATGATGTCATGCCCCCGCCTCCAGGATTCTTTTTTATTTATTTTTCATTTACATTTTTTTTTTTACTGTTGAGGGAGGGGGAGGCTTCTGGGAAATATTGGGGGTCTAAACAGACCCCTGATATTTCCCTTTTAAAATAGAAAAAGAAATTGAGGACACAGAGTCTCTTTTTCTGCATCCCCTGTTCTAAATGAATGGAAATCATCCCATTCATTCAGAAAATATGTACTATCAAGCAGTTTCTGAATGTGGAGGAGCCTCTGTACAGAGTGCTACTACCCATTCAGAAACTCATGAATGACCGCTGGCTATAGTGCTTCACTTTTCTTTGGATCAACGCTGCGTACAGATGGGGGAGAGCAGTGGGCATCCAGACGTAAAGCTGCAGGCTGTGCTTTGTGCGTGGCCGAGTGGCGGAGGATCGGTCTATATCAGTGATATGTACTGATCTTCTGTGCAGAGCTATGCCACCCCACTTCTCCCTGATGGCTGCGCCCCCCCAGCACCTGCATCCGAGGCGAGAGCCTCAGATCGCCTCGCTCTGGATACGGCCCTGGGAGTTATTCACTATGGAACCAAAGAATACAGCTGTAGCTTCGGCTGATCCTTTGACTCTCTTCGGCCGCCTCTGCCCTTCCGTTCAGTTGAACTGAAGGGCTGCTGTACGGGCTATTCACAATAGAAGGTATGCCCAGTATGATAGAGCTCCTAGAGGGCAGGGCTGGCATTTAACTCCTACAGTGACTCCTAGAGTCACAAACACTTACTATTACCTATAGTGACATCTAGTGGGCAGATAGGGGAACTACACTATATCAATCTTGCCCACTCCACTATATTTTGAAAATCACAGGCACTGTAGAATAAAAAGATGGTAGTTTTTTTATGTTGCACAATATTTGTCAAACTGTTTATCACATCTACATTTTAAGTAAAAAATTCACAGTAAAATGAATTTTAGTGAACAAAAACAAAATGTAATCCCTATTTTTTTTGTACCAAACAAAAGACAAGGTTGTGTTGATTAGATAGATATCAAATATGTCAAACCTCAAAACTGTGTGCCCATAAAACGACAACAAAGTATAAACAATACTGAAAATGAAGTAGGTGGTGCTTTAAATGAGAATTAACTGAAAATGTGGGACCTAGAATTATTTTTCTCACTCCGTTGTGTGCTGAAATATTTAATATGTGTTGCACAAAGGTGTACTTACACATGCCTGCCTTATATGCGCGCTTTCATTTGTATGTGTGCATGCAAGGCGTCAAGGGTGCTTTTAAATTTTGTTTTTGTTTTTATTTATTATATTTTACATTTTTCAACACTGTTTTAAATTTTTTACATAACTCTATTTCTATCACATGGGGGATAACAATCCCCCTATGTGATAGCATTGGGCAGGTGACAGGTACTCTTTATGGAGACGTCAGGGGTCTATTAGACCACTAATGTCTCCCCTTCCCTCTCCTACAACCAAACGAGCACAGAATTGTGCTCCATAAGATCTTTACCCAACATTCCAGTCGGGATTTTGACTCTGAAAGTGCAGATTTTGAATCTGGAAATGCTCAGAGCTGATCAAGGAACAGATGTTCCTCAAGTATCAGCTCACTATGCTGACACTATTCATTGGGGTCTGGGGTTCTCTGGCGTAGCAGCAAAGCCCAGGACCCATGGTGGTAGGGGGTTGAGGGGAATCACCTGCAAGTCATGTAAAAGTATTTGGGTAGCTCTACAGTTGCTCAGATCACTTTTACATAAAAGCAAAATAGAAACAAGCTCATGGCTGTAGCAAAGAGTCTATTGTACCCACTAGATTTACCAGACCCATCCAAAGAGCTGAAATGGTTAAATGTATAGTCTAACCAAGCAGTGTAAGCAGTGGTATCAGCCTCCTGCAATGCCCGTGGTAAAGCTCCGAAAGGGGAAGGGAGTAACAACACAATGAGCCGAACAAGTGTGTGGCAGTGCTGATAGGAGAAGAATACAAAGTTGGCAATTATCTAGGAGTATGTGTTTGTAGGTTGTCATTACTAAACATTTCTAAAGGTGTGCTTGTTGTTATTTTAAAGAAAAGGATAAAGGTCCTCTCTTAAGGCCTCATTTGCACGAGAAAACACGGCACATACAGCTCTGTGCGTGGCCGTACTGGGCAGGACAGGCGCTGCGTGTGATAAGTATGCAGCCCGAATCCTTCTCTATGGGAGTATGCGGCCGTATGCCGCCCTAAGCTCACCCCAAGTGCAGGTCCGTACGGGTTTTCCGGCTCGACGCAGACAGGATCTATCCCGTCAGCGTACGAGTACGGACACACGCTGAGACGTGCAGTTCGGGTGAGTGTAGGGCGGCCTACGGCCGCATACTCCCATAGATAGGGACATGGGCTGCGTACTTATCACACGCAGCACCTGTCCTTCCCAGGAGCTTTTACAGCAGTGCGCGCAGCATGGAGCTGTACGCGCCGGCCTTTTCTCCTGTGAATGAGACCTAAAGAAGAACTCTGGGCAAAACTTTTATGAAGCCTTTTAGAGGGGGCTAACTGCTCGTTTTTGTCTAGGTGCTAAAAAATGTTATATACACTCCTTCCAGCCTCTCTCCCCCTCTGCTGCAGCGGTCTAAGGTCCCGTAAACCATCACATTCTATACAGAGAGAAGAATGTATCCAAACTGGAGCAGGCAGAATCCGGGGCAGGTGCCCATGGCAACCAATCAGATTCTCTTTTCAGTTTGTTCATTTAAGAATAAAAGATTTGAAGCCGATTGGTTACCATGCACTCCAGATTTTCTCTGCTGCCGTTTTGATAAATCCCCCTGACAGTGTATAGCTGTGAGGATGCTGAGGAACATTTCAATGCTGCAGCGTAGGAGGAGACAAGCTTTAGAGCGAGGAAGCAGGGACACAGCTCTGAGGATCGGGTAAGTGCAACTTTTTATCTAGCACCTACACAAAAACGAGCAGTTAACCCTTGCAGTTTGTAGGTAGCCCCACTGCAAGGGTTAATAAAGTTATGCCCAGGGTTCTTCTATAAGTGGTTAAAGACTGAGTGTACCTCTCTGAACATGTTTCATGTTACATCCATATTTAGGATCTAACATGAAACATAGATAACAGATCTCCCTCTCCCTATAGGCTTCTTTACACGTTTGAATTTGGCACAGCTGTATATGGCTTTGCCCTCACACCCACATAATCCATTCATTGATCCTTTAACAGGCTTTGCGATTGCAGAAACTACAAGTCCCATTAGCCACCGCAGCAGAGGGACTTCTAGTGCTCAATGGATTACAAACATGGTGATATCACCGCACTTGTAGTCCATTGGCACTTCCTTCTATCCATGTTGCTAAATGTCCATACCAAGGTACGAAAATGGACGGGAGGAAGAGTCTGCAGGAGTCAGAGCATTGCACCCACATTCTACTGAGCACGACTGCAATGCTTTACTGGCTTCATTGCAAAAAAATAATGAATGCACAATTTTTCTTTTACAAAGAAGTGTACATTATTATTAAAAAAACATACACACGACTCCTAGTATGAACTCCAACCAGTGATCACATTCTCGCAGCGGAAGCTGCTTTTCCTCTCTACAATCCGTAATGTTTACAGAATACAGACAGAGGAAGGAACTTTGAACTTCCTGCCATAGTCCATCAACCAATCACAGCCCGCACCGCCAGCAGCCAGATCAGCTGATGTACTGTGAGTCCTAGGCGCGCTGCTATTGGTCTATCATTCGTTGCCTGCCTATTGGCCAGGAATCAGGAAATGGGCGGAGATTCAGGCCAGCCGGGGAAGGGACGGTATACCCTAAATTCCTCCAAGAGCTTCCGGAGTACGGGGAAGTCACCCGGTATAACGGGATATAAAAGCCGGATGTGGAGCGGCGTCTAAGGTATGACGGTCCATGTTTCCACCGCTCCTTCCATTAAAGCGCCAGTGTGCTCCCCGTGCCTGATGGACCTGTGTATTGTCTATGACAGTGCCTGACATAGTGCACAACACAGGTCACGTGACAGCCTGATCGGTGACTGGCACCGCTGTACTCTTCCCCCCCTCCTGTGGTTGTGCCTACTCTGGCTCATGTTATAGGAGAACATTGTTTGGATTACTTGTTATATAATAGCTGCATTGCATAGTCACAGTGGCTTGGCTGTGCCTATACTAATATTATTCTTAGTCACTGACATGAAACAGCTAGAAGTGTGAGAAAAGTTAGAACTTCTTCTACTTGCACTGGGTCAGGTACATAAAAATGTGTTTTAAAGCTGAACTCCGGGCACAAAAACTTTTATTGAAATATATTGCTCTATAGCCATAACGGATATACATCAACTATGTGTGCACCAGATGCCTGGACAAACCCAGATATTACCTGGAGGTAACTTCATCACTGGGCTGCACACAGCCTGCTGTGCAGTTGTGGCTTCACTCACTACAGACTGCCTGCCAAAAACTACAGGAGGGGGCGGAGACTAGACCAGTCATCCTACGCAGGGAGAGAGAGCAGCAGTGACTGGTCTTTATTACAGGGAGCTCCTGCACAGAGGCAAAGTTTCACACTGGATTACTACACAGATCTGGAAGAAATACACAAAGCACACCAAGATAAAAGTAAGAATGCACATGCTTCCTGTATTCAGGGTCAGTTCACACTAGCCTGCCCACTTGCCTTTCCGTGGATGGGCTAGTCCATTGTGACAGCTCCAGTTTTATGTGTTGTATTGCACATTGCTGTTTACAAGTTTTTGGTAGTGTGCAGTGTGAGCACTCCATTCAGGTCCCCACACAGCAGTGTAGTGCACTGTGCTGGCATTTGGTGCTCTGTGGTGGCATACGGTGCGCAGTATGTTTGCATTTTATTGCAGCACTCGCTGCATTGTAGTGTGAATGGGATACATACAGTGTAAAACAATAGTGACCCGGTGCAGTACAATGCAGGTCACCGCTAGATGTGTGAATGGGCCCTTAGACGTTAGTTACTTATTCCAGAGTTTAGCTTTAAGTAGCATCACATGCATTTCTTACATTCCTTTACGCTGGGAGAAAGATACATGGATGGGAATTTACTAAGACTGGAGCAGATCACTTGTACATTTCAAACAGTGACGAGCTTGGGCTTGGTGTGAATCCAGTTCATCTGAGATTGCTCAAGCCCGCTCAAAATTCTGACCGCACCCCTCCCCTGTGGTTTACATCACTGCCATCTTCTCGCCCCTCCAATCCTAAAAGCCGACTATTGTTTTGTTTTTTTACTCCAACCTGCCCCATTCTTGCCTAGGTGAGAATCACACGTACCCTTCTCCTGAAGTCTCCTGGGCATGTCACGTATTCCAGGAGGCTTCAGGAGTTTCCACAGCAGCTAACGGAGGGCGGACCTGGTGGCAGGTCATCAGGGGGCTGGCTGCAAGAACCAGGAAGAGACAGCTGCCTCTGACGATGTTAGAAAGGAAGATGGCAGCACTGAGGCTGACATGGAGCAGCAGACTGGTGGATCACAGCAGGACAACTCCAGATTCTCTGAGCATGTGAGTATTTTTATTGTGGATAACCCCTATGAAGAAGGTAAGAGGAGATCTAAAAAGCACACATGGGGGGAAGTTCCTCTTTAAAGACCAACTATGGACACATTAAACTTATAATTAAGTCTAAATCCACCTGCTGTAATTTACACTTCTCAAAGTTTCCTTGTGGAACACAGCTCAAAAGTTGCATCTCTGCCTCCCACTTCTCCTGCCCATTCACAAAGAGAAACCAGGGGGTGTGTGTTTTGTGACTCGTCAGGAGGAGAGGTAGGCAGAGATGGACCCATAGCGTTGGGGTCTATAAGCCCTGCAGTGTTTACATCTGAGCAGGCAGGAAAGTACAGTGGGAGCTGGACTTCCACCTGCTTGTAAAGAACATTTGCGGGATGAAGAAGGAAGAGTACACTATTGTAGGTGGCTTTAGAGGAAGAAAACAGACTGTTCAGATTATTGTGCCCAGAGTTCAACATTAAGTTCCAAGTTGCAACACTTGGCCAAGTGAGTAAAGGGAGGGAGAGTATGTTCAGCTGGTGGAGCTGCATTGTTGCTTTGCTTTAATGTATTTAAGCCTTTGGATCAAAATGACAGCCAGACAACTAGCATTTCCAAAAACGTACATTTAGCAATGGGAGCCTATCTATTTTCTCAGTACAGTACAAACTTAAAGTGACATTTAAGTCACTTTTTTCCCCATGTTAATGTCAGCACTTACCTTAAATGATGTTTCTTAATCCAATCTTCTTCTTTCCTGATGTTTTCATCTGTCCCTCCAGCGCTGATTCCTCTGTCCTTGCTGGCACTTCCTGTCCCACGGTGTCTGCATGCGGGTGCACGCGTCCATAGACTTATCTTGGGTCTCTCCTCGCGTCCTGGCCGAAAATGTGAACTGCGCATGCGCCCGCCCCAAGATGCTCTGCGGCCACCCGAGGATCTTCACATTTTCGGACGGGAGCGCGCAGGGAAGACACAGGTGAGTATTATCCTCTTTTAAAGCGGTTTTTGTTTTTTTTGTGTACACTTTTTGCATAGATCTACTGCTTGCTAGCAGTAGATCTATGCAAAAAAAACGGAGGCTTTAATTATCCTTTAAAGTGACATTAAACCTTCAGATTTTTTAACATAAAACAATACTGTAATGTGTGCCTTACTGTAATGCATGGTTGTTTCCATTCTCTTTGCTGCTCTTTCTTTTAAATCTGTATCTGTTCTCATGCTCTGCAGAACTTCTGTTTTGCAGCAGACTGCCTTGTCTCAGGAATGGATACACGGTGTCTGTGTATACGTTTCTATAGGCTTGAAACCTGAGCCAGCACTACAGGAAGAGGCCCTGAGCTGAAAAGGGAAGTTCTGCAGAGCATGAGAAGACATGAGGATTTAAAAAGAAGAGCAGCAAAGAGAAGGGAAACAACCATGGATTACAGTAAGGCACACATTACAGTATTGGTTTATGTTAAAAAATCTGAGGGTTTAATGTCACTTTAAGCTATACAGCATGTCCTTATTGTGGTCAAAACGTCTCTTATTAAACAAGTTTACAAAATGAAATGTATCTTTGTTTCTTTTTGTATTTCAGACAACTTGTAGTTTCACCTGGCTACAGATGAAAAAAGTGAAGACATCATGGGCAACCAGTTAGCAGGAATTGCCCCATCTCAGATCTTGTCTGTGGATAGCTATTTTTCAGACATCCATGATTTTGAGTATGACAAGAGGCTGGGAAGTACGCGGTTCTTCAAGGTCGCTCGAGCCAAGCACCGTGAAGGTTTGGTTGTGGTCAAAGTATTCGCTATCCAGGACCCGTCTCTTCCACTCACAAACTATAAGCAGGAACTCGAGGAATTAAAAATTCGGCTTTGCTCTTCCCAGAACTGCCTTCCTTTTCAGAAGTTTACCCTGAATGAAAAAGCGGCTTTACTCTTCAGACAATATGCCAGGGATAACCTGTATGACCGTATAAGTACCCGGCCTTTTCTCAACAACATTGAGAAGCGATGGATTGCATTCCAGATCCTGACTGCTGTGGACCAGGCACACAAATCTGGAGTGTGCCATGGAGATATCAAGACAGAAAATGTAATGGTTACCAGTTGGAACTGGGTCCTACTCACAGATTTTGCAAGTTTCAAGCCAACATATCTTCCAGAAGATAACCCTGCAGATTTTAATTACTTCTTTGATACCTCCCGGAGACGAACTTGTTATATAGCCCCAGAAAGGTTTGTGGATGGAAGTACTTTTTCCACAGAGGACCCATCTACACCTCTGGTGGATCTGACGAACAACAACCAACGGACTCGAGGAGATCTTAAGCGAGCAATGGATATCTTCTCTGCAGGTACTTATATTGAAGCATAGACTGCTAAACTGTGTGAATGCTGGCTACACTGCTGGACATATGACATAAGTACGAGGCTGGCAGATGCTTCCTAAAGTAGTATTACGCTCAAAGATTATTTTCAATAATAAATCCTGACCAAAGAAATCTACATTGCCCAGCAAAGTATTTCTTTACATTTTTGCCCAAGCACTTACAGTCATCATGTTTCCAAACAGCTCCTCCTCTCTCAGCACAGCTTCCCTGAACTTCCTGTCCAGTACAAGATCACAAGGGACAGTGGCCATGTTAACTAAGGGCAGATTACTAGATCTCCCTTTACTTCCTGGAACTCTGGCACATGTGACTAGATATGTAACTAGGACATGTGACCATGAACATCATCTCAGGGGAGGAAAATGCCTTTCCCTGAGATCTCATGAGATTTCCCAGCAATGCTCTGCTGATGTAACCTTCCCAAGATGCAACGCTTTGGGACTTTCATCATTTGTGCCAGAACCGGAGCAGGAAGTAGATGAAGTCTATTTGTAAGCAAATGAAAAACAAGTGTGTTTAACTAATGAATGTAAGATGATTTTAAATCAGCATGCAGAGCTGCATACTGATGTGATTTTTAGTAAAAGGGGGTAAAGGCCCACTTTAACTAAAGAAGTAAGAAGAGACTGTGCTGTTTGTATACTGATAGATTTTGTTTTTCTTTGGCAGGGTGTGTAATAGCAGAACTGTTCTCAGAAGGAGTTCCCTTATTTGACTTTTCACAGCTTTTAGCTTACAAAAAAGGGCAGTTTTCACCAGATCAAGTATTGAGCAAAATTGAAGACGGCTATATCAGACAACTGGTAAGTCATGGACAAAGAATCACTACGTGTAGTAACGCGTGCATAGGTGCCAATTTTTCTGAATAGCACTACAGTGCACCTTACTAATGGTCATGCATTGCATCACTGACCACTAGTGAATAAAACAGATTCTACATAGAGTAATATGTTTCTTTATTGTCTTTCGAAGGTCACACAAATGATCCGCCGCGAGCCTGAAAAGCGATTGGCAGCTGAAGATTACCTCAAACAACAGAAGGGCAATGCATTCCCCGAGATCTTCTACTCCTTTCTGCAGCCATACATGGCCCAGTTTGCTAAAGAAACTTTTAACTCTGCTGACGAACGCATCCTGGTTATCCGAAAGGATTTGGATAATATTATCCATAACTTGTGCGGAGATGACCAGAGTGAAAAAGCAGAGGGCGAGACCAAAGACAATGGCCTCCTTATCTTGGTCTCAGTAATTACCTCCTGTTTGCAGACACTAAAGTACTGTGACTCTAAACTGGCTGCCCTAGAACTCATTCTACACCTTGCTCCACGTTTAAGTGTTGAGATTTTACTGGATCGCATCACTCCATATCTGCTTCACTTTAGTAATGACTCTGTGCCCAGGGTAAAAGCCGAGGCTGTGAGGACATTGACCAAAGTGTTAGCCTTGGTCAAGGAGGTGCCTAGGAATGATATCAATATTTACCCAGAGTACATCTTACCTGGCATAGCCCATCTGGCTCAGGATGAAGCAACTATTGTGAGGCTAGCATATGCAGGTGAGTAAAAGCTGATTATGGCTGCACATTTCCTAATGTTATTTCATTTTACATGCAATCCCCCTTTTAAAGCAGAAGTAACGGTGAAAAAATAAAAATCTCTGGGAGGTAAGGATTTTGTCTCTTCTGTCAAAAAAAATGTCTTCCTCTCTCCCCCAGCGGTTTATTTTTGTGTACACTGTATGGCGAATGTGCCGTACAGTGTACACACTCTGTCTATTCACAGCACCTGTACGATGCCGTGAACTGGCCAGGCACTGTGGAGGATGTAACTCCTGTGCGCATGTGCAGGAGTTGCATCATCAGTGGCCACCCTATGGCCAAAGAGAACTTCCAAGAACCCACAAGTATCAGCGGTAGAGATGGCAACAGTGGGGAACAGTGCTGAGGACTGGAGAAGGGCACACTTTCAAGATAAATGTGCATACTTGCACTTTAGGGCAAAAATGAGACAATCAGCTTTAACCTGATGCTGAACTCAGGAGTTAAAGGAGAATTATGACTTAAGGGCAAATAAAAATACCGCTTACCTTGATTGTAGTAGCATTCTTCCTTTTTTCTAAAGTCTCAGCACATCACATATAAAATTCTCAAAACCTGTAGTAAATGGCCGTCTTCAACCCTGCTCAGAGCTCCTTTCCTCTTAGGGGGCGTTAACCGTTGATCCAGCCCGCCCACAGCTTTAAAAAAAATTATCCCATTGCTGTGGCCGCGCTTCCTATCATTGTGCACACTGGCATTTGTGAGCGGGAGGCGGAGTCTTAAGTGAAAAGGCAGCATCATCATTTGCCAGAAATGGGCAAGTCCATACATGGTGAATGATGTCACTGGGTATCCCTGCAGACTGGCAAGCATCCGATCAGCAGGGATCCCCAGTGACATCATTCATCATATATGGACTTGCCCATATGTGGTAAATGATGGAGAGAGAGAGGGCTCCTTCTCCTATCTCTCTCTCCCTGCCCTGTGTGACGCTGACATCAATCAAATCACTGGGGATCGCTGATGAGAGAGGGGAAAGAGTGCTTTCTCTTCAGTATTTACCACATATGGGCAAGTCCATATATGGTGAATGATGTCACTGGCGATCGCTGCAGACCGGTAAGCATCCGATCAGCAGGGGGATCCCCAGTGAAATCAGTCACCATATATGGACTTGCCCATATGTGATAAATGAAGAAGAGAGAGAGAAAGGGTGCCTCTCTCTTTCTCTCTCTCTCTCTCTCCCTCTCTCCCTGCCCTGTGTGACACTGACATACTAAAATCACTGGGGATCGCTGATGAGAGAGGGGAAAGAGGGCTCAAGGGATCAAGCAGCGTGTCTGGAAGGCTGGCACAGAGGACGGGGATGGGCAGGTAAGGAGAGAGCTGCGTCCACAGAGCTGCTGCGCATGTCCATATATTCGTGGACGCGCAGCAGCTCTCAAGAATCAGTCAGTCACAGTGACGACGATCAGTGGGGAGGATCCCGACAGTATTGTCGGGATCTCTCCTCATTGTGGTGCTTAGCCCCGCCCACCATCTTAAAGAAGGGTTTACAGGCTTAGGGTGCATTTTGGCTAATAGGAGTAAATTACACAATTTACTTATTTAGCCTAAGGAATGCAATAATAAAGAAAAGATAGAACCCCCATAGTTCTCCTTTAAATCTTAAAAATGCATTCAAGTACCTTCATTATTAAGAAAAATGTAGCTTATTTGTGTATCACTCTCATGTTTAGTTTACTCATTTGTATCAAGATTGTACTACATCATGGTAGTGAGCTTGAAGCGGTGGCTACTTTACAACACACACAGGGGAACAAAAGTATCCACCCTCCAGAAGGAAGGACAGTGTCAGCACAAATTCAGAGAACATTTGAGGATCTACAGCTGAGTGATACACAAATAAGTTACATTTTTGTAAATAGTTAAAGTACTATTTTAGGATTTAACTCCTGAATTTAGTGTCACTTTAAAGGTCATGCTCTATAAAACTAAACTTTGGACATGGGAAAACTCACACAGAACCCTGGGAGCACACAAATGCTTACTTATTTAAATCTTTGCTGTTTTTTCAGATCTCTGCTTTCAGTTCTGAGCGGAAGGCGGGTCTCTGTGAGACAGAGGCATTGATTGGCTATGTTTACCTCGCCCATATCTTGCCCACACCACTGCTCAGATCTGCAAGCAGCAGTCAGATGGTAGAAACATAAAGATCAAAGCTCTTGAAAAGGTAAGTATTTCTGCAGTCTCTGGATCCTAGTGCTAGTGGGCAAGCATATGTTAAAAATAAAAATGAATCCACTGGAGCTGTTCACACAACACATTGTTTTGACATGTGGTAAAAACATGTCTGCTGTGTTTTAAGCCTGTTAAATTTTTTCCCCCCTTTTTGGGTTTCATTCCGGGGACCTTCTGAGTGCATTTTAAGCTGAATTCTGGGCACAATAAATGAAAGTTAATTAGTAGATTTGTGGCATAGTGTCACATCTCTATGTATCTTTTAATTTCTAAGTGCACCTGGGCTGCACAACATCCTTGAAAAGGTGACCCTTCTGCCTAGCCAATGTTTTGTTTTTTGATAGTGACTGGTCACCTCTGTTCGCTTTCTGTGAGCATGGCCATCGCCTCACTGACTCCCCCCATCCCTGCCACGGTTCTAGAGAGAGGAATACTGATGCCATCATGTCAGTAATACAAGCAGATCATGGCTGGTAGGAAGCAGAAAGCTTCTTGAAAAAAATCACAGCACCATGCCTCAGTACTGCTGTCATGCTTGCATCAGCCGTCAGCCACTGTCACATACCCAAACGGGCTCTGCAACTGACTGGCTGCCAGCTACCTTTGGCTGAGAATTTCCCAACCAGCTCCTTTGATTACTTGATCCGAACAGATACCGTCTGGATGGGTGCCGACAGCGGCGCCCACAGTGTGAGTTTCAAGAACTGGCTGAAATTCGATAAGTTGTATCCGGCTTAAATCTGCTGAAAGTTATATCCCCAGATAAGTGATCTGACGTTCAGTTCTACATAAAAGGGAATTCTTGTTGACATTGCACCACCATGTCACCAGAGAGGGTAAATTTAAGGGTCTAAGACTTGGAGAAGTTCATGTGATTGTAGAGGATTCCAAAGGTTTAAAGGCCTCGATCAAGTTAGATTATGATCTTTGAAAGCCACAATTTTATACATCTTGTCCTTGACTAGAAAGCCTTGGGTATTAAGCTGGCCGTACACCTATAGATTATCTGCAGATTTTCTGTGGTCAGATCAGATGGAAAAAGTGCAACAGATTCCTCCATCTACACTAAACTGTGTGGATGGAGGAATCTCCCGCTGGACCAAGCTTCAGTATCTTGCTAGTCGGCCCTGCTGGCTCTCAAAATACCTGAACGATGCCTGCACCCAATCTGATTGTTCAGGTATTTTGACAGCCATCTGACCATAGAAAATCTACAGATAATCTATAGGTGTATGGCCAGCTTTAGGATCACTTCTAAGCATGCATAGGAAAACCCTATTGTCAGAATGAAGATAATGGGGGGTAATGTGCATCCCTGCCTAGAAACGGTTCATGTTTTGCAGATATCTCCACGGTCAACTAAATAAAATTGCTGAGTCACTGATTACTGAATCTGTGACCCGCAATAATGCCATCATGTTGTGGCCATCACATGACCCTTTAGGACAACTTGTCCTCAAGTTCTACCAAAGGTTCATGGTCTGTGGATATCCACATGGGTAACTAAATCAAATTGCTGAGACACTAAATACTCCATCTGTGCATATGGGAGATGACCCTTATAACATGCAGTGTTGCTGGGATGTGAGGACAGGCTTATAAACTCTGCTCTAAAGTGACCTCATTAGACACAAGGAACAAAGCGTGTATAATCACAGTGTGTAATGTCAGTGCAAACAAACAAAATCCTCTACAAAGTCAGCTAAATGCAGAGGAAGTATTCTCTTTTTGTGAGCAAATAAGGAAACTAGAAAAAAAACTAAGCTTAATTATATGAAAATTCTTCTGCTATGTTGTTTTTATTTTATTATGCAATCAGTTCCTTCTCCTAAATGAATGTAGATAAAGTGAACCTGTCCTGAAAGAAACATGCAGGCTATCGTGGCTGATCTCCCATTCTAGTACTAGTTGCTTGGCTGTTATTGCCAACCCTCATTCATCAATACTTTGATTCACTGACCCCGAGAAAGTTTGCAGATGAGAGTAAGGATCAGCAAGCTTGTAAAACGTGTCACATCAAAAATTACTTTTATGTAAATTTTGCAACAAAAAGGGTTCTTTCACACGTGCGTTGAGAATTGAATTAAGGGGCAAGGCTGATTAACATGCCTATAGTGATAACAAGGCATTAAGGAAGGATCAAAAACGCTTGCAACATGCCGTGTAAGTAGGTGAGAGTGTTAAAGGGTTAAGTTATGTAGTAAGGGGAAATGACCTGCAGTGGCCACACTTCTGTTTTTTTTTTTGAAGAAGTCGCAGTAGTAGTAGCAGTAGTTGGACAGCCTTGGGTCATACAATTCGGAATATTGCTCAACTGCTTGAATTAACCGTGCAACATTTATTTCAGCCATGACCGGTTCTGTCTCGTACTTGCAATGCCTGGTAATGGTATGGCTGGCACTGCTAAGCTACCACTGGTATGGCTGGCACTGCGTTGGATGACACTGATTACAGCTGGCACTACAGGGTGGCATCGGTCAGGCTGTCACAGGTGGCAAGTACCTGGCTAGAAGCTGTCCTCTTGCTGGCTGTGTGCAGACAGAAAGTGGTATCTGCACCTGCTATGTCCACTCACTCTATAATTCCCCAGTGGTTTCTGGGATTGCAAAACCTCCTATGCCTCTCCTAAAATACCTGTGCAACGCTTCCTAAATGCCCACAAAATGCTATAGGAACATTAACTGAGCATTTGAGGGGCGTTTTAAAATACTTCAATGGAGGCATATGTTCAGCGGCAATGCTTCCAGACCGCGACATGCGCTCTATTTTTTGACACA